TGATAGTTGTTCTATTGAGTGGTATATAATTACTGACATTCGAACCCAATGACTTTTAGACTACAAAAAGAACGCGTTAATCATTCACCTGCTCCCTAATTGTAGTCATTTTATGATAAAATATTGAAGTCAACTAAAATTTTGCTAAGCAACAGTTGAAAATGAATTTTTTCATTATTTCTTCCAGTGCTAAGGCGGTGTCGTAGATTATTGTCACTGGGTAAATATCAAATGATCCAAAAATTCCACGGTATGTAGCGCGACTGCTAGCCACTGTCACTTGGTGAATAAGTGTTAACTTACCTGACCTAGCAAACCCCAATGTTAACCACTACTCAACAGGAATTCAGGACACTTTCTGAATGGAGCCTTTCATTAATGAGTATCAAATTAATTTTTCAGAAGTTGGAAATTACGGATCAGAAAATATTTTTCACCAGCTCACATTGTAGACTGTAGGTACTTGGGTTCACACCCTGGTGGGTGGTGTATACCATTCACAAGAAGGGCCTCTTGAACAGATGTCTCGATATTTACAGGGATTAATAACCTAAAGCTTTGTGTTTGGTTTAGACTAGGACTAGAATTCAGGAGACATACTTCCGCGTTTTAAGCCATGCATGCTATATTAAATTATCAGTGGGGGACACCATCTCTTACTAGGGAGCAGTTACGTCCGACTGACAAGTCCAAAACAGCACGAAATGTGCAATCTTCTAATCCTGATGATATAATCACTTCCACTTAACAGTCCTATATAACAAACTGAAGCTGCTCAATCTCAGTGAAACGTATGAACAAGAAGGTGTATTCATGAATAGACAAGAGTAATAATTAAAAACTTCTTAAGTTAGTACGATTTTCTTACTTGAATCGTTTGTGAATTTTGTTCAATTCAATCTTAATTGCAAAATCGGTTTATATCACCTAAAATATATTTGCTAAGTCTAACACAAGTACTGTCAATTAAAAACTAATCTAAATTATCTTTTTAGTATTCGATATTGTTATATTCTGAGTTCACTCTAATATGCAGGTAGATATGACAAGTTCACGAATTATAACTGTGCGCATTTATAGCTTTGTATCTTATTATATAAAATCGGTAAATTATATGAATTTTAAAGGCGTACTGACTGAACTGATATGGTGACATAACTGAAAAGTACTTAGATATATAGTCACTTGAGACATTAATTAGATTGACTTATTTTCACACCTTACCTTTCCCCTGTAACTGCTTAATTATGAAGTTATTAACCCTTAATCTAGAAAGCATCTTTAGAGCTGATTTCAAGATGGGCACAGCTTTGCATACAAGTGTGCATCCCCTTAAATCAGATCTGTGTTCATAACAGAGGGTCTCCAGTAGTGGTTAGACACTATGATTTCATTGGGATTCAGGTGCAACACAGGGCACCAGTATCATATTTCCATTACACCCTGGTCCCTGAAGTCTTTTTTTAGCCGGTTCCCTTTATTATCCATAAGCTATCATTTCCTCCTCCCAAAACCTCCACCATGTCACCCTCAGACCGATGCTCAACTCGTTGTTTCCTATATGGTTTCGAATATAGGATCTACATGATACTTGATGTCGCCTTAACGGTCTCCATTTCCTTTGGTATATTCCTTGGGTGGTTCGTTGTCAAAGTTCCTTTGTTGTTTTGTTGCTAATCTTTTCTGGCCTTCCATCTGATCTTCAGGTTTGAACTATTGTAAGCCATTGTTAACCAAAGTCTGCTTTTTGTGACGCAGCAAGTCTCTGACGCACATGCAAACACTATCTGCCTTGAGATTAGTGATGAAATTACTAATTTTGTTCCATGTGCTTAGTTACAGCAAATTTGCATACTAATCGCAGATTAGTGTAAATCCTGTGTCGTTGATAATCTCGTCTGCTCCACCTCTGGATAAAAACTATGTTGCCTAGCCTAGATCAGGTGAATAGAAGACAAGACTTCCTTTAGACTTCACCTGTTCGCAGTGATTGGTGCTTGTTTTTATAGTTGTTAGTGATGGTCAGTTATCTTTATTATCTCTGTCTTGTTTATTGTTGTCTATATTCCTGTTTTTTGGTGGACATTGGGCAAATAGAATTCATTCGAAAGAATATATTAGATATGATGGAGAATATTTGTAGTTTAAGTGTATGATTATGATTTGGTTGTGTTCTCTGACCTGGATAGTAAATCTGCGAAGCTTCCATCGCTCTACTAGGCGAAGTGAAGTTTCACACACACACACACACACACAGAGGGTCAAAGTTCAAGTCAAAGAAACAATCACCTCCAATACAAGTAACCCAAAAAGGTGTGAAAACACACAAAAACAACCAATCACGTTCAAGGTGGTCACCGACAGGGAGAGATGATTAATAAACTCGTGAAGAAATCTAAAAGCTCACTTCAATTCAAATTGAAGTATACGCTGATGATGTCGCCTAGGAGGGGGGGCGATGAAAGCTTCACAAATCAATTACCCAGATCAGAGAACCCAACCACATCAAAAAGACTATATTGTTTCACAGAGTTGACAAATAACCTTTTATAATAGCAACATAACAGATCTTACGTTTTTAGTGAGTCTCGGGTTGTTTGAACCCATGAATGCATAAACTTGACTGATTTCAATTTCGGCCATCAACTAACTACGGTCAAAGAACCACTGAATGGAAAACTAGTTCACCTTATAGACTGAAGGCCTTGGGCTTGGTTCCTCTCGAAGTCATAGGTATGTACGCATGAAGAGTCCCAAACTAGAACGAAGCAGCTGTCTGATACTCTGTGGTCTTCAATGGCTCTCTAGCGGAAGTCAGTTTGCGGTCAAACTTTTAATAAATCTGTGCTCATATCATATCTACTATTATTTGGGAATGATTTAACTAAATTACTTTGGCTGCTTTATTTAGCATAAACACCAAAACTGATGCAATTTATATATTTTTATGGAATGTGTACTCTCACAATGTGTTTAACTACTAAGTTGATTATTTAGTTTATCATTATTATTTCTTTGGGTTCTGAGTGGGACAGAATGTCCCCAATTCATTCTATTGTCTGAAGTCCCCTGTAGCGAGCCACAAGATTGCCTTTAGGCTCTTATCTCCTCCTGATATGATCTTCTGCATGTCACACCCAACACACTAACCTCTTCATTTCCCACTCGGGTTTCACTGTAGGATGTGCCAGGTTCGTGCTGTCACTCAATGGTCTTTTCAGCTGTTGTCCTACAAGTCTTGATTTTATTCTGTATTTATTTTTCGAGCAATGGGTTCATGAGCTTCCCTGTGTCTCTTGTTGCTACTTCTTTCTAGTTGACCATCTAATCTGCAGTACAGAGTAAAGTACAACTGCTGATAAAAGTTTGCAACAAAATTTTGGAAATGTGCTTTTAGATGGCGCTCCAAGTCTCTGACCAATATTCAAGAACTGACACTTAGCAATTGTTTCGGAAATTCGAATTTAGTTGCTGAGTGCCAGCCAGTTTTCAAAGTGGATTCAGAGTGTGACTAATGTCTGCCAGACCTCGTCTTCTTCTGATTCTGACTGGCTTTAATAGCCTAATCTGTGTTGCTTGTAGCTGAAACAACGTTTCCTAGACAGGCAAAGAAAGTGACATCTTTCAGATTTCTGTCGTTGGTTGGTTAGTTTCATTATCTCTTGTCGCCTCTACGTTCATTTCAAATCGTGTTTCTTCTACCGGTATGCCGGTTTTCGTCTATAATTTTTTGAGTTTGTGTGATATTATACACATATATAGTCAGCGAAGTCCAGATGCTCTAAAATCTTCTTATTGGTTCAACGCGTTTCTGTCTTTTCGTTTCTCACAGTTTGATGCATAAAGTAGTCCACCACAGTTAGGAATATCGTCAGTGATAATTATTCTGTCGGTAGTGAAATTATCTAAGATAACGTCAAGTTAGCTAACTGTCACTGACGTTGTTGAGTGGTGCTGGGATGGGGTGAAATGAAAATCTGAGTAACAGCAGAATTTATTGAAGTGAAATCTCTCTTACTAGTTCGTCAATAAGCCAGCAGAGCTATGAGATTCAACTGGCAACTAGGTCATCATTTCAATCTAAACACCGCTGATTATGGCGTGTTTACTATTTAAGTCTTCTAACTTTGCTGAATGAGTATTTGACTGGTAATTCAGAGGCTAGTGGTTCAAAATTTCTCCTGGGATCCAGATCTTTAATTCAACTTCAATCACTTTGATTGGTGGTCTTCCAACTAAAGGTGACGTCAAATAGCCTTATTATCATTGTTTCTTTGTTAGGTAAGTTATTTTTAAGAGTTGGTTTTTAGGGATTTGGTTGATTGGTTACAAGATTTCATTATAAGCTGACATTGGTTACAGAACCATTGTGAAACCTGCAGGTAGTACTGGACAGCTGTTTCGTCCTAGTTTGGGGCCTTCATCACTACGCACCCACTGGGGTTCGAGACAGCTCTACAGTACTCCCTACAGGTTTCCCAATGGTTCTCTAACCGATGTCAGCTCATGATAAAATCCTGTAATCAATCAATCAATTCACAACAAACCAACACTTGAATATCAATGAGATGCTCAATGCGACTTGCCCTATTCAGGTAGGTAGTTACCTGGGGTTCCAGCGGGGAGTGGTGACCAGTAGGATGAAGCAGGTCGAGTGTGGGGACAGATACTCGCCACGGATGACATTGGTTAGCGGTTGCGCTATATCGTGAATTGGCAAAAGTTAGAATTCATGAGCTGGCCATTAGAGTGGGTTCCAGTGGCTTAATGGTTTACGAGCCAGGTCGTCTTGTAACCAGAAGGTCCTAGGTTCGATCCCCGGTGGGTGCGTACTGGTGGAGATTCCCAAGCTAGGACGAAACAGCTGTCTAGTACTCTCTGATTTTTTCCAGTGATTCTCTAACTGATGTCAGCTCATGATGAAATCCTTCATACAATCAGACAAAAATCTCTACGAAACCAATACTTGAAAAAAATTTACTGGTATGTCATTTACTCACCTTTAATTTAAGTGATTCAATGTCCAATAGTAACATGCATATCACTAATAGACCATCTAATGCACATAATATTACAATGATTAAATGAAATAATTTAGCATGAAGTATTACACTGATTCTTGTCTTCAAGTCTTTTCGTCGATTGTTCAGTTCAAGATTAGTTCCAGTTAACGTGGTTGTTGATGATGATAGTAATTGAGCTGATGATGGAGGTACTAATGTCGGTGGCGTTAGCAGTGCCTGTTTCTTCATCTGTAGCTGTGTTGGTTTCGCCTGTGCATCTTTCACAGACATAAGTAAGCTGTCCTTTGCATTATTTGTGCATTGATCAAACTCTTCGTTATTGTAATGCTTTTGTTTATTATGATGCATATTTTTCTTGTAGAAAGGCAGAAAAGAATATTAATAAAGTTAAATAAATTAAGCCGAAGGCGTTGAAAAAAACAAGACATATAAGCGAACAGTATTTTTGTTTTCAATTAGATCTTCGTCACGCTTTACTCTAATTTACATGGATTTATATATAAAAAGTTTTAACCAATGACGGTTATTTTGTGGATCAAATAACAATAATAATAATGTGGTAAATATTTTGACCGCAGTTTATTATTATTATTGTTTCCTTGGGTTCCAGGTGGAACATAGGGCTTCATTTGCACGTTTCCACATGCTTTTCTGTCTTTTGTTGTGCTTTTCACCTGCATCCATGTTAGTCCATACTGTTTCAACTCCTCTTCACACGATCTCCTCCATGTTACCCTCGCTCTGAAGTCCCACTCGCCTCTCCCCTTTAGGGTTCCACTCAAGCGATGTCACCAACTGGCCGCCTCACCTCAGCTTCGGTGGCACAGTGGTTAGGACTCTCGCCGACCATGCACATGGTCCGAAGTTCGATCCCCTGCCGACGCACACCTGATATCTATGGGTGGCCTGCAAATTTGGGCTACCGATATCTATGCTAAAAATTCTATACTTGTACCAAAAATACAGTGTGGAATCAAGCTGTAATCAAAAGTAAAAAAAAATAAAAAAATAATTTCCACTTTCTCCTGCATATTTGTCGGTTGACGGTTGGTTCTTGTTTTGTTTGTTTGTTTGTTCCCATACTTTCTTGTTGGTGATTCTTACCGGCCCGGCCATCTGATCTTCAGTATAGAGCCAGCGAAGACAAATGTTGTTGATAAAGGTCTGCAGCAGGTTGTTGGAAATATTCTTTGTGATCCGCCCGCCAAGTTTCCGACCCGTACAGAAGAGCTGACTGATTTGACGTATTTGTATTGAAAATCCGACTGAATTTTGTTGTTGATGCTGAGTGACGAAGATTTGCAGATTGGTTGTTTCAGATTGACGAATGTGTTTCTTGCCTTCCCGATTTTCACTCGACTTGACATCCTCGTCCGGTCCGACTGCATGTAGCTGAGACAATGCTCCCTGGATAATTGAATGAAGTAACCTCTTTCAAATTCCTCTCGTTGATGGTGATTCGCGGTGGATGTTGTTGCTGTTGTTGGTTGGTTATTTTCATAACCTTCGTCTTATCTATGTTCACCTGGTGTCCTGTCTTCGCCGACTGTTTCTTCGACCAGTTTGTTAGTTTTCGCTTGTAAGTCTTCGATTTTTTGTGACATCAAACATAAATCATCCAAGCGCGAAATTCAGGTCTTATAGGTTCTTCACGTCTGTCGGTCCAGGATATCCTTGTCTTCTCGTTTACCACCCACCGTCTGACGCATAATCCAGTCAGTCCACCACAATTAGGAATATCATCGTGGGTGATAATAAGCACCCTTGTCTGACTCCTGTGCTTACTTCAAACGCCTCGCTGAGTTTTCCGTTGTGGATCACTTGACATGTTCCGTTGTCGTACAACTGTTGAATAAGTTTGATGAATATTTGGGCGTTGCACGCCATAGTACTCGAGTAATTTCCAAATTACTTCACGGTCAACGCTCTCTGTCGAAGGCCTTCTCGACGTCTATAAAGTTGAGGTAGAGGTTTGATTGCTATTCCATTCTTTTTGAACGTAGTTAATAATGATAATTATAATCATAACAAAATATTGATAATAAGGTTTATGCGGGTGGCGATAATAATAACAAAGGGAGTAATATGTGTATATGTTTATGTAGACAATTCAATAAATAAATAAATTAGGTCAAACCTTAAAAGTTACGTAATACTAAAGGTGAAGTGGACAGACAATCAGAGTTTAAATAAATATCATGAAAATACAAAGGAGATGGAAAACAAAGAAGAGTGGGAGGGTTTTGAATAGAATTCACCTACGCTGAGCAAGGGACAGACAAAAATAGAACAAACTTCTTCTGTATACAAAGACTAGGATTGTTTTCCCGAATTAATTCCCATAGCTTCGGTTAAGTGTAAAAGACGGATTAGAATTCAGTTTGAAAAGCTCAATGAAATACGATAGATAACTTTGAAGGCATTATTTTTGTCCACCTGGTCACCGCTCTCAATCAAATGAGCCAAAATAGAACTTCTTATAGGTTTTATTTGACAATTTTCCGAAACATGAAGGAAGATACTCATCAATGCGTTTGCTAAGCTGTCTAGTTGTTCGCCTCATATAGCTTTCCCCACAACAGCAGCTAAATTTATAGATACACATAGAAGTGGCACAGCTAGCCAGGTAGCTTGTCTTTTGCTTGAGCAATCATAATTGGTCGGCAGCTGGAAAATGACAAACAAAGGATGGTGCCAGTAAAAGTCCGTTTTATCGCTCTCGATAATCTCTGATGTAAGACTTCGCCAGCCACGTCCCCATTAAATTGCAATTTCATGAACAGTTGTTTCTTTTAAACTGTTATCAGTTTTTCTTTATTGTACTTGGTGTTCATGTGTCTCTTAACACATCTACTGGGATAACCCATGTGGACCTGAGTATTTAGAATGTATCCTAACTCATTTTGTAGGGATTCATCTGTACAGAAACGTCTTGTTTATATTCGTGAGGCATCTGGCCAAGCTGACTTTGTATCAGATTGGTACAAAACTGAGAAAATGTGTATAATGTCCTACAGATGTAGGTTTTCTATAGACATCCTCTCTTCTGCTCAAATGAACGTCAAGGAAATGTACTCTATCATCATGCTTTTCTTCACAAGTGAAGATGAGCGATGGATATGTAACAGTGGATTTTATTAACATTTCATTCTTGTCAGCTTTGATATCAAGAATAATAAACGCATCATCAACATAGCGAAAATTTTTATATATAAATCTATGTAAATTAGAGTAAAGCCTGAAGAAGATCTAATTGAAAACAACAGTATTCTTCGCTTATATGTCTTGTTCTAATATAAATAATAGGAGTATTTATTGAGTTGAAAAAACAAACAATCAAACAATTATTTCAGATAACTTTGAATTTTTATGATAAGCGGCACGGACAGGATTTCATGGGGACATAAAAATACGGAGATAATGAAGACAATCAACCAAAAATAACAAAAGCAGCAGTCACTATTAACGGGGAAAGTTTGAAAGACGTATCATTCCATCTCCAGATAGGAAGGATAGGGACGTTGAAACCCGGATGGGAAAGGCTAGACAGAATTAGTTTATTGCTCTCTGAAGTCAGTTTTCAAACCATCTTCACTCCACAGAATAAAGATTGAAAATTCAAATTTTCAAATAGATAAGAAACCTGGCGCATGCATTAGGAAAAGCGTCTCCAACAGATTGTGGATCTTAATCAACATCTGATGTTTGCCCGTATTAAAGATTAGATAGTCAGAAAGGATTAGCAACAAAAACTCAAGGAGAGAAACAACCAAGAGCTTTCTGCGCAAAACATAAGCTGAAGAATATGAAGATGGATTGAAACCATATTTAGGAGATAGTCGAGTGAGACCCCAATAGGAAACCACAATTTGGAAGCCCAAGGGTGACATGGAGGATATCGTGAGTGATGAGATGAGAGACTGTATGATAGAAAAGATTTGTAGCTCGGGTGGGTGATCTTGATGTGGTTGTGCTCTCTCAGCTGGATAGGCTATTTGCGAAGCTTTCATCACCCTACCAGGTGACATCTTCAGCGCATACTTCAATTCGAGGCAATGAACTTATAGATTTCTTCACGAGTTTATGAACCATATCTCCTCGTGGGTGACCCCGGACGGGAGTGGTTGTTTTTGTGTGTTTTCACACCTTCTAGGTTACTTGTATTTGAATTGATTGTTTCTTTGACTTGAACTTTGACTCTTCAAACCTTTAGGAATCGGCGTCATACACAAACCAACAAAGTCGCTTCACTCAGTTCTATGTCAGCCAAAAGACTCAACAGCGAAAGAAGATAAAACCAACATCATCTACAAAATAAATTGTAACAACTGCGAAAAACGCTACATTGGCCAAAGTGGACTACCCTCCTCTTCGTCTTCGTATGCTGGTACATAAGCCAGCCGTCAAAAGACATAACATCCACTCCTTCATATTATTACATACAGACATCCGCAAATATCAATTCGACTGGGTTAACCGGCGTTCAAATATTAGACAGAGGAAGCAACAGGAATGCTGGAGAATTTTTAGAAGGTTGCCTGGTATTTCGGTGAATTATCAGTCAATAGACACATCGAGATAGACAAAATTTATCAACCGATAAGAAAGAAACCTCACACACAAAGGGTCAAAGTTCAAGTCAAAGAAACAATCATTCCCCATGCAAGTAACCTCGAAGGTGTGAAAACACAGAAAAACAACCGGAGAGTCACGTTCAAGGTCACCGACCAGGGTTAATGATTAATAAATTCGTGGAGAAATCTAAAAGGTCATTGCCTCGAATTGAAGTATGCGATGAAGATTTCGCCTAGTCGGGTGATGGAAGCTTCGCAAACTAATCATCCAGCTCAGAGAACACAACCAAATCAAAAAAGATGAGAGACTATGTTCAACCGTGAGATCAGCTAAAGAGGACCAAAGAGAACAAGACAAAGAAGTCGGGATGTGCTGTTGAGGCCCATAGTTCCATTCTCAGCGCAAAAGAATAATTGTATTATAATGTTATAGTTATTCTTGACTATCTATTCAGTAATTAAAACGATGCAAACGCAGGTACTGATCTCTTTGTTGGGTTTATTAAATACCGATTGATATCAATTAGTGTACCACCAGAGAGTATTGGACAGCTGCTGCATCCTAGATTTGGTTTCCTCAGTAGCTCTCAATTACGACTCCACACTGAATCAATTTCAGGACTTACATGTTACGATGTTAGCCACTTCACCATTTAGCCGATGATGTTTCTAGATGGTGGCGTCATGTATTATGAGTTGGCCATTGGGTTACATCCCGGGGGCTGACTGGTCAGCACTTATATTTTTCAGCTTGATAGTCCTTGGTGTGATTATCAGTGTGCTCATGGTCGTGTTATGTTCTAGAACAAAACAGCCGCCCAGTATTCCATAGTGATTTTCAAAGGTGCTCTAACTTATATATGTTTTACGGTCCATCTTGAAACCATCCCTCGATTTTCACAATAAATCAGATGTTGATAACACTATCTACAGCTGACTGGTTGGGATGAGCAGCTATGTGCTATATCTATGTCAACCAGCAGTGCTTGCAAGCCGGATCAAAGGATTCTAAACAATGGACTGTCATTTAAATTGTTTGGGGTCTAGCTCAACACTGGTGTATTCAGTTCGACTCAGCTCAGAGAACAGAATCAGTTCACATCGCCTGATCAGTGGCTAGTTACCTGGGCTAGTCCGAGGTGAGAATTCACAAGATATTCTTTAAGAATCCTCAAAAATTATGATAGCATAAATGACGATAAAGAAAGTGACCATACTAGTTATCTGATTAATATGAAACCACCTATTATTAAGCGTGTGTGTGTGCGTCGGTGTTACCGACCACGCATATGGTTCGGGGTTCAATCCACTGCTGACGCACTCACTTACCTCACTAAACCAGTAATAGTAGTGGTAAAGAAGGAAGGTTAGGCATGAAGCTAGCAACCTCATTCCGTGAAAAAACAAGACGGCTACCAAAATTTCCGGTCTCTAGCTTGAAGTTACCGTATGTTCCACAAGGAAATCAGAAGGAGATGGAGACATAATGGGACTACTTTGGATCCAGGTCGAAATAATAATAATAATAATAGCAATAATAGACCACCCAATATAGACCATCATAACGGAAGGCACTAGATCTGATTATACTCTCCTAGTTCAACAAAGCAACCATTATGTGGGGTACAAAAGAAGCATAAGACGTTCATGAGGTTTCTGTAAATGAGAATCTCTAGAAAAAATTGTTGAAGCTAAATGATGAAATGAAACACAGAGAAAAAGCATCGGAAACATATATCTATTCTATAAAATTATTAAGAACATCATTAAGGGCCAAAAACAAAATACTAATAATTGTGAAAGCAGTATTGATAATATAAATAAGAAAGAATATAAATCACCTAATGTTATACCATATAAAGAGGGGATATATGAGGCCCTACCTACGTAGGATTGTAAATCAAGCAGGAATTAGAGCATCACTCAACCCTACAAGCTCACCCAGAGAAAAGCGTTGTAGGCTTAAGGACCCAGTGGACTCAATTAAACAAAATAATACGATTTACAAAATACCTGCAATGTCTGTGAGTTAGGTGAACTACATAGGACACACTAGTAGATCAGGAGTAGTGAAATCATCAGAAAATAAGAATTCAGTGGCTAGGGTTCGATTGATTGTGCTCACGAAGATAAGTAATTTAGAAGAAAGCTCAGAACCCTGCTGCACTCCATGCAATAACACACAATCACACAATAGGGTGGGAGAGGTTTATGATTCTTAGAAGTAATATAAGTAAGGGGAGAGCGAGATTGATTACTTTTATCATTGATATAAGTATAAAACTTGGGAACTGGGCTGGTAGAGTATAACTCGATTGTGGATAAGATTTTATTTTGATTAATCACACACAGTGGTGTTATGCAGTAATATTAACTGATGTCAACGTTTCGAGCACAAATTATTGCCACTCATAATCATATCAAGTCACTCACTCACGCAACTTCCCTGTTTCCTTTATATACGTGTGCGGAAATTGACCAGATATTTGAATGAAAATGAACATCTGATAATGCACATTCAGAAGTAATAATAATAATAATGCGAGTGTAATTGATCAATTACAATCAGATGGGAAATAAGACGAGTGTTTTTATAGCCATCAGTAATAAGTAACTTGTCAGAATGTTGTGATGTACGTAAATTGAGTTGAAATCGAATTTTGAGATTATTTATTATCCTCCTCTGATTTGACTGACTGACTGGTGTTGATGATATCTTCCATATCTTTGTTATTTGCATTGAGTCATTTCTGTTGCATGTGTTGTGTTGGGTGTAGGTAGACTCAATGAACCAGTCAGGATTCAGTAATCAATCTCGCTCTCCCCTTACTTATATTACTTCTAAGAATTATAAACCTCTCCCACCCTATTGTGTGATTGTGTGTTATTGCATGGAGTGCAGTAGAGATCTGAGCTTTCTTCCTAATTACTTATCTTCGTGAGCACAATCAATCGAACCCTAGCCACTGAATTCTTATTTTCTGATGATTTCACTACTCCTGATCTACTAGTGTGTCCTATGTAGTTCACCTAACTCACAGACATTGCAGGTATTTTGTAAATCGTATTATTTTGTTTAATTGAGTCCACTGGGTCCTTAAGCCTACAACGCTTTTCTCTGGGTGAGCTTGTAGGGTTGAGTGATGCTCTAATTCCTGCTTGATTTACAATCCTACGTAGGTAGGGCCTCATATATCCCCTCTTTATATGGTATAACATTAGGTGATTTATATTCTTTCTTATTTATATTATCAATACTGCTTTCACAATTATTAGTATTTTGTTTTTGGCCCTTAATGATGTTCTTAATAATTTTATAGAATAGTTATTCAACACCAACTCTTCTTCTGTCTGTTTCATTTCATCGTTTAGGTGTTTTTTTCGCTACTTATTGCTATTGCTCGTTTTGTTAAACACTTAGCTGAGCCAGCCCTTAGGAAAAGCGAATGAGGTGAATTAAAGTCTAAATATCCATTAGAATTCGTTGGTTTTTTTTATAAACGCTAGTGTGCATTCTACTTGCTTCTTTTCGTTTTGTTTTACAATCTAACATAGCTAATTCTCCTAGTTCATTTACTGATTCAAATGTGAATTTTGTTCCCTCAACTTGTGAGTTTATATGTGTCAAGAAGCTAGAGATGTGTTCTGTTTTTAACACTGTGAAAGTGTCATCCACATATCTTCACCATATTTTCGGAGTAGGGTTAAATGTATTGAGGGCACTATTTTCCAAGCTGTCCATAAATATGTCTGCTACGATAGGGGATATTGGTGATCCCATTGCTACACTTTCTGTTTGTCTATATATTTCGCCTTGGAACTTAAAGATAGTAGATGTGAGGCATAACTGAATCCCCAAAATAATTTCTTCAATGGACAGCTTTGTCCTATGACTGAGTTCCGGATCCGCAGTTAATTATTTTTTAACTGCTTCTAAGGCCATATTAACTGGTATATTAGTGTAAAGACTAGTTATATCAAAACTAACCATTGTTTCATCATTCTCTAGTTGAATGTCATTTATTTTATTTTTCATCTCATAGGAATTCGTTAATCTAGAGTTTAAACGACTTCTAATGGGGCATAGTATTACAGCTAAGTGTTTTGATAATTCATACGTGGGGGTATTTCTAAAATCTACTATTGGTCTTATGGGGTAACCTGGCTTATGTATTTTTATAGCACCATATATTCTACTAGCATTATTAGTTTTAGGCATTAAAGTAAACCATTTAGACTCACCCAGTGATGGCTTTATTCTGCGTATTAGTTCCGCTGTAGATTTCTTAACCTTATTCATTATTGTATCTACAGACTTCTCAATTTCCTCATATGGACCCGTTTGAATATGTTCAGTAACCTTTTTGATGTAGTCAGGTTTATCCAAAACTACGGTGGCGTTTCCTTTGTCAGCTTTTGCGATGACAATATTTTTATCTTGTTTTAGACTAATTGTAGCTTCTCTTTCCCATTTTGTTAAGTTTGATTTTATTTCATTTTCATTTTTCAGGGTTAATACACATTGTGGTCGAACCTCTTCTGTTGTTGTCTTTTCTGTTGAGCTTAGTGCTACTTCTATGTTAAGAATAACATCCTCTGGCTTTAATTTATTAACTGTTACGTTGGAATGTAGTCCTTTCTCAAGTACTTTTATCTGAATAGAGCTTAGTTCTCTTGATGAGAGGTTGATCACCCACTTTGTTGTGTCGATAGAGGATGAAGCATTGATATCAATTTCATCTGTTATGTTCTTTTCTTCAATTGGTTTGTTGAATTTTCTGATTTGCGTGAGTTTTGATTTTCTTAATGCGGATTCTCTAGCTTTGTTGGATGTTTCAACAACAATTATATAATCTTTTTCATTGATCATACATTTGAGTTTGTGTTTGAGTTTTCCGATTTCATTTCGTATATTATTTAGTTTCACAGTAACTCGATGTAGTTCTTCTCTCAGACATAATCTACTGACATGTTCGGCTGCTTATGTTATTTTTCTTTAAGTAATTTGAGTACGTAAGCGTAAATATTTTGGAATTAAATGTTATTTAAACACCGACTACTAAAATCCGATGGTTTGTGAAAAACTTAAGCACAAACTCAAATATATGGTCAATGACAAAGATTATGTAATTGTTGTTGAAACATCCGAAAAAGCCAGATAAACAGCATTAAAAAAACAACCTCACAAATCAAGTATTAGAGCAAAGTGTTTTGATTATTTGTATGTCGGCGTATTTCTAAAGTCTACCACTGGTTTTATAAGGTTTAAAGTTTTTCGTTAGAATCACATGAGAATTCATGCTAGATTGAATAGCACAGATAGCAGTCACACCTTGAATCTTTGAATTGACTTTTTTGGCATACCAAATTTATCAATTAATGTAGAGATATAATTTAACGTTTCACGTTGATTACAGAAAGGCTTACTGAGGCATTTTTTATAGTTAAATTATTTATCAAATAGCGAGTTGTATGCAAAATAATTATATATAATTATAAGCGTCATCAAGCGTATCATCTAGAGCAGTAATGCAAACGGACTACTCGCCGAAATGAATAATGAGAAGCAACTATTAGTTATTTTGCTAATTTATGATTTATGTAATTAGATTTGATTGATAGCTATGCCAGCTAATTAATGTGTAATTTAAATTAGAATAACAAGTACTGATTATTCTAGGCTAATTTAAATTTACCATTGATTGAATCGAAATACTTTTGGAACTAAGCGTTCAGCCTGTGTTGGCATGCAGGCTTCTAGTACATTATTATTATTTCCTTTAATTCCTAGAGGAACATAGGGCTTCAGCTGCGCGTCTCCAATGCGTTCGATTCTCTGCTAAAGTTTTCACCTGGCTTCAAGTCTGCCCACATGCTTTCATCTCCTCCTCACATGACCTCCTCCAAGTCACCCTCGCAATGATGACAAACTCGCCGCTTCCCTCTCCGGTTCCACTCGGGCGATGGCCTGTCGAGTGATGACACTTGATGATTTTCTCAGGGTTTGGCCAATCAATCTCCATTTCTTCCTACATATTTGTATGACAATAGTCTCATAGTTGGTTTGCTTCCAGAGATCCCTATTGCCGGTCTTTTCTGGCCTGCCAACTGATCTTGAGTAGTACTGAACGAAGACAGCTGTTGATGAAAGTCTGTAGTTTGTTTGAGGTGCTCTGTATGACATGCCAAGTCTCTGATCCGTGTGGTGAGTAGCACTTACTTCATATTGGAGTTGAAAATCTGGATCTTATTTTTGATGCTAAGTGCTATCGACATCCACACAGACTTGACAGAAATGGAAGCTTGCCATGCTTTCCCGATTCTCGCTTTGATATTCTTATCAGTCACTCCCGCCTGTGTTTTTGGAATGATGCTTCCCATGTAGGTAAAGGAGGTTGTTTCTCTCAGATTTCTGCCATTTATGCTGACTGTTGTCTGTTGTTGTTGCTGTTGATGTTGGCCAGGAATCCTCATGACATCTGTTTTCTCTATGTTTACTTGGAGTCCTATCCCTGATACTTCTTTTGCCAACTTGTCGCTTTCCACTTGCATGTCTTCCAGTTTGTGGGAAATCAGACATATGTCATCATCGGGTGAAGTCCAGACCCTCCAAGTATTTTGTGAGGGTCCATATTATGCCTGTTTCCTCGCTGGCCGCTGTCTGTCACATTATTCAGTCTGCCGCAATCAGGAAAATCATGGGCGATAGTAGGTAGCCAGTTTGTCTCACTCCTGTCTTCACTTCGAAGGATTCCTTAAATTTCCCGTTGTGGATTTAGTTTGTATCTAGTACATTAATATATTGCTATTTTCATTAATGGAGACTAGCAGAAGGACCGAGATCTGGATCTGCATTTCCAGTTGGTGATTGTATTCTGGTATTCTGAGACTCAAACCCTGCATCTTTTGCTACAAGCTCCAAAGCCCTACCCACCAAGCCACTGGATCACTAACATTTAGAGGAGCAGCACTTTTAGTTATTTATTTATTTATATGAATGCAAATTCATAATTAATCAAGGTAAACTGCTGATTTCATTTCGCTTGGAGTATATTTTAGGGCTCACAAATTAAGAAAATTATCCCTTACCATTAAATTTCTGAAATAACTTGGGTTTTCTGTAATTCACTCGCTTGTTCGTATTCATGCCAGTTAAACAAAAACTTTCGGTGTCATTTCATATCGTCATCTGATATCAATTGAAGAATCACTGAAAAGTAAAGGGTGCTGCTCTAATTCGAAAGCCTTTGGTGGTGCTCACCATGATCGAACTCAGGATATGAAATTAACGCAACCAACTCTTCGACCAACCAGCCACTGGAGAAGGACTAACTGCCTAAAAATTATAATTTTTTGCAGTCGGAAATATACAGAATCACTGGTAGGTAGTGTCTTTGTCCTCATATCTGACTTGATGGACTTCACTGGTCACGTCATGTCACAAGAATTCCGGAAACTTCATCCTGGAGTCAGACACTAATTGGTAGTGCTCCGTTTTTCACTGATATACTTCATTTTATGGTCTAACTTTAAGTCGATCAAATGTATTTTGCATAGTGTTATTAGAAGACGGAGTTTATCTGAAAACATATGTGATGTACTTGCGCTATACATTTCCAACAATCTGATCACTCACACATTTATTTGTCAAGTCGATATATATAAAAAATTAAGGGCAATTCAATTATACAAAGTGACGAAAAAAGAAGATTTAATAATGATCAACACAACATTTGGTAATCCAATCAAATAAGGATTACCAAGGTAGGTTAAGAGTAATAATAAACTGCTTTTGATTGCACAGAGGAGGCTTAAGTTGATGAATAGCTATGGCTTTGGCGTATTTCAAATAAGCGCTTTTGACCGTTTTTACCGATGACCTTAAAGGTTGAGTTAACATCACTCTTGTAGCTCATCTCGATTAGATGTTTGGTTATAGACAAAGTTGTTAGTCTGACACATACGTCTATTGGTTTTCCACAATTCATTTGCTTTTGTAACAGTGTTGGTCTATGCACTTCCACCCTTGAAATATACAGCCTGAATGAATCACATTTTTCAGATAATTTCCGTCTTCTTATAACGCTAACTAAATTTATAAAAGGGACTATTTGTTTTAAATGTATTCTGACCAACATTTGATGAAGATGTCTAATAAAGTGACATGCCAAAACTCCGAGTTGTGGCTGGCCTTCTACTGGGTAGTGAACAAGGCGGAGTTCAAAAAATGCGTCTCCGAGAGTCGAGTCCACCCTCACCGCGTGTGTGGCCGATGAGCCTTCTACCACTGAACCACTGATGCATGATGTGTAGACAGTAAAATTATCCTTTGCTATGGTAGCTGACTTCAATTTCCAAAAGTCAGGAATTAATTTTTCATGTTTGCTACTAGTAGAAGCATCTTAATCAAAATCAGGACCACCATTAGACAAAAACATGACGATAAATGAAATTTCTAAAGTCAAATCTACTTAAGTATCATCTAACTGCAGATTAGGCACCAATTAACATATAGAAATCAAACAAATACATGATCAAGAAACTATTATTAGTAACTTACCTGGCAACTAATAGTTAGTTGATCATCATTAAAATATCACTGATCACACAAGCTTATGTATGCCTATAGATTTTAATCAGGTTCATCATAACTCATATTTAAGCAATTAAATTATAATCCTATAGACTATTTAGCATTTAAACTGAAACTTTATTTAGATAACGTAATAAATGGCATTTAACTGACTACATTATTGTTTCTTCAAACGAAATAAATCAACCAATCAAAGACTGGATAACAAAACCTCCCCCAAAACACGTCAACCAATCACAAATAATCAGTCTTCTTGTTAAGCATTTTGATTGGCTTATCAAATTAAGGTCAGTAAGGAATAATTTTTCACTATGGTGAATTATAATAAGTTATAATATATATATAACTCCGACAAGAATTTCCACTGAAACCCTCCATTGTTATTTGATGTGTAATATAAATTATGAATGTAGAAAGAAAACCACTAAAATTAATAATGCTCACTCGCACTTTCACAAAGCTATAATTCCACTAAAGGAATAAACACAGAAATAAACAATTCTTTTAATTGCTTATTTTTATTCTTTCTTGAAAACATCTTTGGTTTTACAGAAAGAATGAAAGCGAAAAAACTTTGTTTTAATTTAATAATTATCAACAATAGAATGCGAGCATAAATCAAATCTAATTAAGCGCCAAAATTGAAGTGAATTACACCTTGGGTAAAAGTAGTTATTCTGAAATGTTACATAATAAAACAAATGGCTGGGACGATAAAAAAGAATCTTTCTTTATATGCTAAAGAAAATCTGCTCTCACTCTCTCTGTGTATATATATACATACATACATACATACATATATATATACGTATATTCCTTTATTCCTTTAGTGGAATTATAGCTTTGTGAAAGTGCGAGTGAGCATTATTAATTTTAGTGGTTTTCTTTCTACATTCATAATTTATATTACACATCAAATAACAATGGAGGGTTTCAGTGGAAATTCTTGTCGGAGTTATATATATATTATAACTTATTATAATTCACCATAGTGAAAAATTATTCCTTACTGACCTTAATTTGATAAGCCAATCAAAATGCTTAACAAGAAGACTGATTATTTGTGATTGGTTGACGTGTTTTGGGGGAGGTTTTGTTATCCAGTCTTTGATTGGTTGATTTATTTCGTTTGAAGAAACAATAATGTAGTCAGTTAAATGCCATTTATTACGTTATCTAAATAAAGTTTCAGTTTAAATGCTAAATAGTCTATAGGATTATAATTTAATTGCTTAAATATGAGTTATGATGAACCTGATTAAAATCTATAGGCATACATAAGCTTGTGTGATCAGTGATATTTTAATGATGATCAACTAACTATTAGTTGCCAGGTAAGTTACTAATAATAGTTTCTTGATCATGTATTTGTTTGATTTCTATATGTTAATTGGTGCCTAATCTGCAGTTAGATGATACTTAAGTAGATTTGACTTTAGAAATTTCATTTATCGTCATGTTTTTGTCTAATGGTGGTCCTGATTTTGATTAAGATGCTTCTACTAGTAGCAAACATGAAAAATTAATTCCTGACTTTTGGAAATTGAAGTCAGCTACCATAGCAAAGGATAATTTTACTGTCTACATGTCATATATATATATTTATATATAAGAACTGATTTATTAGG